GGTAGCTTTGTCTTTCTTTTTAGTTGCTTCTCTGTCTCTGCCTTGAAAGGAAAGTTATTGTTTCTGACAGAGCAAATTCTCCCAGGCTCAATAAGCAGTAGAGGATGCAACAGAGAGCACACATTTAACTATCAAAGGACTGAACTTAGTACACCACAGAAAGCCAAATGTAGACTTGAAGGAGATCTCAACATGAGATGACAGGTACACCAATGGGAGGACTTCCATTCCAGTTAGGTTAGAAGATGCAACAAACAAGGGTCTGAAATGCTAATGGCCATTAGTGGAGATAAAGTGCTCTGATAACAATGTCAGAATTTGCATTTTTATTGCTGTTGTCTTTTTGTATTTGCATCTGCAAGTGCACATGGGAAACAAGGGGTAATTGGTTTACAAAAGAAAAATACTATAGTATGGACTATTACTAAACAGTACGAGGGGAAAGCTGTGTATTGTTTGAGCAGCTCTCACATATACTCACTGATACTATAGCTGTCACAGCCATAACAAAACCATTCACATTCATTTCACACATGCCTCCCATCTGACAGGCATTTCATTAGGATGTATCATTCCCTATTTAAAGAAAACAAACAAATTAATGGGGTTTTTAACAAGAGGTTTTATCATTAAAAACAGATCCTCCATGTAAACGTCTCTCTTTTACAGATGCTCATCCTCTAGATAGCCTTTTGTAAAATACTTGAACAAGCTTGTCTAATAAATAAATGTCATGTGTCTCATAAGGAGATGAGACAGAAGCGATCATCATTCTATGCAACAAAGTCGAAAGGTCATATAACAAGATATGTTACACAGTGGACAGTGGCCTTTTGTGATGTGATTAATTATTTTTCTGATAAAAGCATCTACTTCTATCTTGCCCTGCTGAAATGAATGCTTTCAATCAGAACATAGGGTAATTATTTTCACTGTGACGCATTCAGATTTTACTGTGCTGTGGTTTCACAAGCGTCTGTGTGAAGATAAAAGCAAGGTTACTTTCTTGAAAGTTAAGCTAGAAAATGGTCTACTTTTAGCTCCATTTACCATGTTTAAAATATTGACAGCTGTTTAGTATCAGGTTTCATCTTTCTTAGGTTGCGAATTTGTTGTGATATACACTCACTGGCCATTTTATTAGGTACACCGGTACAATTGTATGCACTTCAATGTAACACTTCCAGCTTAACATTGGTGTTTATGAAGCTCAAAATGTTTCATTTTTGTTGAAATTGTTGTTCATTTATAATTTCAATTATATGTTTATTATTCAGGTCTTAGTTAAAGGTGGTGTTGTACTGGACTACATTATATTCAGAGTTGTCTTTGTTTTTGTCCTCACCAGCTACATATGTACGTGGGAGGGTCAGAATATTAGGAATAAGCTATTTCAGGAGATGCTCATTTGAGAGGGAAGGGACAAGCAACTACATGGATCAAATAGGTTGGAGGACTTGTTGTCTTGGTCTCACTTCTCTTTTTTTTTTTTTTGAGCATATCTGAGCGCTCCTCTTGTGTTTCCTAGATCTCCAGGAGAGCTTGTGCATTAAGTTGTAGTGGCAGATTGTAGTAATTTTTTTTTTTAATTTTTTTATTTTAGCCCTTGTAGAAATTATGCTATTCTACATGGAAAAATGCGGATACTGTATCTAAGTACAATCAGCCTTTACATTTATCAATTTGATCATTTCATTCCCTTTCACTTGCAGAAGGTAAATTAATAAGTAAATACAGTTGCTGTACAGTAAACCTGGATACACATAAATCTTGGTAGCACACAGCTGGAGACAACTGATGCCAGTTATAAAGACAAATGAAATTCAGACAGCATTATTGACTCGGTTACTCATATCATCAATACACTGTTTTCATATAGTTAATTATTTACAGTCTCAGTTAGGTTTTAGAAACACACTGGATGAGTAATTCTTTGTCAGTCCTGACACATTACCGCCCAAGTTGCACAGTCAGACACTGATACTAATCTATAATCCATTTGAGCTGCAGGGATAAGGGAATAACAAAGCACAGTGGCTATGAAAAACACACAAATCAATCCTGAAATGTGAGGTCACTTGCTGTTTAACCGAAATAACCAAACAGAGCAAGCTATGATGAAAATTATAGATAATAATTTATACAATTGATGACAAAGAAGGGGTGAAATAACACTGTAATGGAGGATATGAGTCAGAGAGATTAGAAGCTAATCAAACAAGCACCTGCAAATGGTTCATCAAATGATGCTGTGACAAAATGGTGCTCTGACAATTTTGTCATTGGAGCAGCCTGCTGCCTCTTCTCCTGCAATCTTATCATTCAGACCAAATAATATTTTTTAAGAAAATCTATTTACAAGATTCACCGCGCCATGGGAAACCTGAGAACCTGAGACAGTCTTCACATTATAAACAGTGAGTCACATAACATTTACTTATTACAAGGAAAAGAAAACAATAATGAGGCATAGGTACATCCTACCCAAAACATTTAACTTAGTATTTATTATTATTATATTTGTTGTATTCTATTTAAAAAATTTCTGAAATCTAATTGGCTTAAAAACAAAGTATATTGAATAATGTCTCACAAAAGAATTTAAAAGGTAAAAGTTAAAGAGACATGTTAAAAATGAAGCACAGTGGTTGACAGAAGCAAATATAAAAGCAGATGGCCAGAGACCCTCCTTTAAAGGCGAGTGGCCTCGGATTTTAATCCTACTCTGAAGGCGATAAACCAAAGCTTCAATTATCTCCTCTTTTCTCACTTAAGAGCATGCCTGAGTCTGTGTTTTCAAAACAACATGTGCACTGAACGTGCATTTCGTTTGTGTTGTGTCATGTCATAGCTTGACATCCTACACAGACAAGAGGCTTCAGAGAGGCTGCAGTCTGACCGAAGGGATGGCATGCAATAAGAGGGAAAAATTGAATTGTCATGATTTGAGAAAGTCCCCTGTCATGCAGAGAAAGGTGACACAGGATTGTATCTATGATGTGGAAAAAATCATTAGAGAGTCTGTAATGAATGGCTGACAGCTGTCTGTCAAAACTGTGTGGTCCTGTTTAAATGTCCATTCATTTTCCACATGATTGCCTTTCTCATTTCCAAGTCACAGCCTGGTTGTCTCTGCATGTCTTTATTAATAAAATATAAAGTCATGGAGATGATATTAAAAGGTCTAACCCTGCATTTAATTTTATTAATACATACTAATTTTAAAAATTGTTGTATAAATACTGTACTTTTTTTTATCTTAACCCTAATGTTCTACCCCCATTTAACAGCCAAAAAACTAAACAAATAACAAAGAGAGAACTAAACAAGAAATAGTACCCTAGTTCTATTTGGCAGCTCAGAGACCATCTGCTTAAAAGCCTTGGATTTTCATATGTTCTACATTAGGACTGGTTTTGAAAGTTCTTTACAGTTTACTCCTCTGAAATCCCAAGCTACTTTATTTAATTATGTCTAAATTTGTTTAGATTGTCTAAAACGTATAGTATCGTGAACATTTCTTTGTTATGAATGAGTTTTGCTCTCTCTCTCTGTCTTGCTGTCTCAGCAGAAGAAGCCAAAGTGATAGTGATGCACTGGGCGATGAAGGGTTAAATTCCAGACTAGAGGAGGGAGCCAAATAACTGCCAAACATACAGATGTTTTATAATCACTTTATATGCCCAATTTAAGGCTCCATCAGGCTCCATGTCTCACACAGGCTAATCCATGATGCTCTTTACGGTAATCCATTCAAATAACTCTTGTCTAGTGCCATCCATTAGAAATCCAAGATGACAGAGGACCTGGAACTACAGAGCTTGATATGGCTAAAGTTTTAAAACAGTCCAGACCTGGATAGGAAAAAGATAATTACAGTAATCAATGATGAAATGACTGAAGGATAAATATAGTGGCAAACAGAAAACTACAGCTGCTGCAATTCTAACAAAGCCTGGAGGCAGTAGTGTTCACAGTAAAGTTACAATAATATATTGTTCTTGAAAATACCCTGTATTTTTAAGGTTCTTCTTACAGTGCACTTTCAGTACAAACCAGTGAAATAAAACCTGATATCTCTGCAGAGAAAGTGGGAAATATTGGCCCCGTTAAAGGATATTGCTCTGAACACTTTTTAAAAATCAAATTATTAAACTGATAGAAAGTGCTTTTTTAGTCTGCCTCCAGCTCTGGACACAGAGACGTCAACCTCATGAGCAACAGTTCTATATCTTCATTTTCAAAGGCAGCAGCTACAACCTACATCACTATGATTATTAAACCTGTTTTAGGATTATGAAAATGGCATTCTGTATATATATTACATTGGTTCATTGTGCACCTAATGTGATATTTTTATTTATACCCTGCTTAAAAATATTTCTGGACAATTCAGCATAAAAATCCTTTGGTCCTACTTGAAAGGCAGTGTGGATTAAATGTGAGTCATTCAACTCGTCCAGCATGCTGTCACATACTTGATGTGTTCAATGAGGGTTTAATGTTTGAAGTCTGTCCAAGCCAGTCTTTCCTTACTGTGTATTACTGACAAGAGTGCATACAAAAAAATCACTGTCTCAACTTCTAGTTTCAGTAGTGCCATACATGCCTGCTCCCATTTAGAACAAGAACACTGAATATTATGTAAACATGAAAACCAAGGAGCTAAAATGCAAATGCCTTTTTAAAACTACGTCAAAATTTCAATGAAGATGTTTTCTCTGGTCAGTGATGACATTAAAACAGCAAATTTCTATTTAAGTTGCACATCAGCTCACACAATGAATGTCTAACAAGCAGATTTACTGTAGAGGATGATACTTTACACGAGACACTAAGATTGCTAATTATTTTTTGTGCTTTTAAATTTAATTTCCCTTATAGTGTAGTTAAAGCAGCAATGTCAATGCTACTTGCCATCCACTTCCATCCCGGTATTTTACAGTGTCTGCCTTCAGCTACACTAAAATAGAATGGGAAGAGGACTCGACTACACTTACATTTTTGTCCTCCCCAGCTGCATACAGAAACACACAGAGGGCAGAATATTAGGAACACCGCTGAATATAATGTAGTCCAGTACAACACCACATTTAACTATGACCTCAATTATAAACATATCATTGAATTTATACATTTATGATCATTTCAACAAAAGCTGAAACATTCTGAGTTTCAGAAATACAGATGTTAAAGGGGAAGTGTTGCATACAGTTGTACAGGTGTACGTACCTAATAAAGTGGCTGGCGAGTGTATACTGCAAGAAAGTGAGTTAGGGATGATCTGAAGGGCACATCACTTTTGCGAAGCACCTCTTAATTTGCCATAATTGATCAGTGTGTGCACATACACTTTTCTGTCACTGTAAAACTGAGGGTACTCATGCATTGCGTGGTCATGATTGAAAGGAGAAAAAGGGCGGGACTTTTTATTGTAATTTTTGCACTGAGATTTCAATAATTAAAACAAAAAAAAACCTATGGAAACATTAGCCTATTACAATATAACAATATGCATGTAATCCTATAGCTCAACATTTTAGTTTCTGATGTAAATAAAAAGCAGAGGTTGAAAAAAAAGGCACTTGAGCACCGTGTTATTCAGGCTGTCCACTCTCAGAATGATACATCTTTGGCACTGGACTGTACTTGTCATGTGTATTGACCAGTGGATTAGTGATGGATTTGATCCTCTTAAGGGGAGTATGCTAGAGTACTGTAGAGCTGCAGTTTTACTCAAACTACAAACATGACTGTACCAAATATGTACACTTACCTCTGTAATTTAGGCTGAAGTCCTCAGTGTGAGAGAGCATCCCTGGTGTCCTCCAGCAGTACAGATGTTCACTGGTTTCCTCTCTTATGCTCTGAGGAAAAATAAATGATAGAGATGAATGTTAATTTTTATGCATTTTTTTTTTTGGAGTAATTTAGGGAACAAGTGGATGGATTTTATGTGGTGACCAGGGTGTCAAGTACAACCTGCATGTAAGATATAAGTATTTACTGAAAGTCAACATGTCGAAGCCAATCCATAGAGGCCAGTCATAATTTGGCACGTAATATAAAGCTGCTTGTTCTTAGGATTAACTTCTTTTGGCAGTGCAGTCTCCGAAATGAATTCAGCACCATGAATGTTCTTTTTTTCATCTTTTTTTTCGGGAACTGGAGCCACCTCATTAACCTTATCTAACAAGCACAAGCTAATGAAATCCTGTGTTTCAGTTTCTGGCCTTGCCAAAGTTAGTTTTACTAATTAATCAAACATCAGACCCCCTATCATTTTAATGACTCTCCGTAAAGTGAATGAGAATGTGCTGCACACACCACCTGAGTGAGGCTACATGGACACATCTCCATGTATTTCTATTGAAAGTTAAAGACAAAAAGAAGCTTTGCGCTGAAGAGAGATAGCGTTTTGTATTCTCTATAGTAGGTGAAATAGAAATGAAAAAATTATTACTTTTTATCCATGCTTCAACTTTGCTTTTATGACTTTCCCACCTACATACATTAACATCTGCAGAAAACAAGCTCCAGATTACTGCCAAGTCAGAGTTCATATTACTCCTCTTGCTGCTCATGAATCAGTTATGTTCAGAATGTATGACATGTTGTATCAGATGAAAGGCATAATCTCCAACAATCAGTGATAAAAATCTGCATAATTGCTACATTTACAATAAATGAGAATACAATAGATAATGTTATTCAGTTAACTGCTAAGGCCGTTATTTGTATTCCAGTGAAAGGGGCAATAGTGTGAGTGGCCCAAGGCAGCTGCCTTTCAGCAAAGGCCTTATGACAACACAAAAAGCAGCGGAACCAAGAGAAAGGGGGGAGTTTGGGAGTCTTCTGCAGTATTCTTTTAATTGCTCATCATAATGACTCCATTTAGCTGTTCAGTGATCCATTTTGGGCCATTGAACGGGCATGGGAAACTCTCGGTCCTTGGCAGGGTCAGGCCTGCAGCTGCCCCTGCTGCCATGCATCAACCAAGAAGGTTGATGGTTTCACATTTTGTTTTGCAGTCTGACTTTAAGAGATCTGAGAGTGTGATTCTGAGAGTGTGGCCATGTTTAGGAACAGTGAGCACCACCAGTCTTCTTCACAAAATAAAAACTATTTTTATCATGGAAATGTTTAACGGCAAAAAAAGAGTATGGCAGCTGTGACATGTCTGACTTGACCAAACTACAGAAGTGTCTCCTCTGCAAATAACAAAGTTATCTAATGTAGCTTAATTCATACTATGTTTCCAAATCCATAAAGTCTTGTTTTGTGGCACTTTCTAATCCTGATGAATTGGCTGAAAAATGTTTTCTAATGCAAAAGTAATTTGATGCATTTAGCTATAGTATTTGTTTAGACTGTCTTAGAAACTGTCTTGTACTCTACAACTCTGATCATGTGAAAGCACAAATAATACACACTTGAATTATCTTCAGTAAAGAGAAGGTGGAAATATTTTAAAGCCAGCTTTGAAAGAACAGTTTTGAAAATGAAATAGGTTTAAATGTTCTGGTTACACCTGTGAGGCTTTTGCAGTGTTTATATAAAGAGATGACTTGAGCTTCCCTTCTACCTTTAGTGGGCGTCAACACAAGTGTTGTACTGCTGGGTGAACCCAGTGGGTCTCAGGTGTTACCAACAACCATCAGCAATTTAGAGAAAATGTCCTTAAAATAGACTGACCTTGGCATGTGGTCTATGTTATGCTGTTGGCAGCTTCCTGTGGCATCCAACTAGAAAATAAATTCAAACTGATCAATTTTATAACTTTTGAATGAAATCACATTGGAATCACATTGGCTGAGGTCGAGATACTAAAAGTGAAGCATGTGGCCAAACTGACACCTTCTATAATCTTAGTTAATTTTTGATTTTGACAAGGGTTGCTGGTGAATGCATCTTGGATTATGTACATCATAGATCAAGAGCTGTCAAGTCAAAAAACACTTCACTTTGCAGTACTTAAAAGCATGGCAGCTGGGGTGGAGGAGGGTGTAGAAAAGCATTGCAAATCTATGTAGCATGCTGCACTGTCCCCGGCAACAGGCTGCACCATGTGAGCTGCAGATTGGCAATAAGTATTGCTCTGATGTACTGTACAGCAGAGAGAGAGTGTGATAGGAGGTGCTGCGGACACTGCTGGGTGGGTCAGTTTCATTAAGTTTGCTGATTGAATCCATGTGGGATCTTTTTGCAATTATGAAAAACAGTGAATTAAAAAAAATCTGTGCAAGAAATCACCCTCTAGGGTTGTGTTGGGATATGAGCTAAATGGAGGTGATTACCTCCACTAGGCTTTCCTACTGGCCATGAAATAACTGAGCCAGGGGGTAAAATTATTAGATTTACATATTGTCTGCTACAGTAATACTCAAGATGTGAAGTTGAGTGACTCACTCTCAGTTAAGCCTTAAGGTATGGAATTAAAGAGCAACACAGCTAGTTTCCCCTATGGAGAAGGAGACAGTATGTGCCGCCTGACAACAAGCCTTAAGGAAAGCAACACAGACCCACCCACACACACACACACACACCCCCACACCCACGCGCGTGCAAGAATCCTTCCATTTAAACAGTTGTCCATGTGCATGTGTATGCACACAGTAAACGTTGAAATTGCCTTTCTAAAAATAGACATGCAGTACTACTTACTGTACTTTCAACCATGGCAAATGCTGTCTACAGAAAATAACACATTTGCAGACAGAATGGGTTTCCTGATAGCTTCATGAAAGCAAGATACTGGTGTGGTATTTCTTCACTCATTCAATATTAAAGTAGCATGGCATGCTTTCTAGAGCACACGTAATGATGTTGTAATGGCTCTATAGAAAAACAGATCCAAGAAGTCCAATGAGGGCACATTTTAGTAATGTAGGACAAAATGTTAGTTCTGAGACACACTGGTATTGAAATAGTTGGCATTTCTTCAAGAGGTCAAGAGAAGAGAATTCTCATATTAGATTTACACTCAACACACTGTCTCCACATAGACTGAATGAGGATTTTGACATTAGACGTTGTCTGCAGGTTCAATGTTTACAGTATATTTTGATTATACTCTTTATGAACTGGATTGCTGCATCAGACATGATCCCTATCACGGGTCTATTTAGTGGTCACAGAAGTTGTGTACGAACTAAAACATTTGTGCTGATACCTGTAATTGTTGGCCTTCTAAGGATTTATTTGACCAATTATTAGACATACAGTGCTTACAATAAGATTTGGTAGATTTTTTTAAGGTGTAGAGATGTTTGTTTGGGTTTTCTATTGCAATGTGGTGGGTAGGTGAAAATATTGTGTGAGAAAATGTAGTGTGAAAAAACCAGAGTCATATTGTTATTGTGCTGTAGTTTTTGTGCCGATTGGTCTGGGTGCGGTGCCACACCTGACGTTAATTTGAAGGAGTCTGTACAGAGTATGTCAGTTTGTCTATTTGTCAGAGTACAAGCTGTAAATACCTGATGAAGACTCAATGCTGAAACCTCATTGGTGTGGCAGCTTGGCCTGAATAAAAATAATTTTGTGGAGTGTCAAATCAAGTGTGTGCACTATAATTACTGCATCAGGTGCAGAGCATGGCTAGTTGTGGATTTTACTGCTAAAAATGATTTTAGTTTGTGAAAGCATTCTTGTTTACTCAGAATCCAAATAAAAACAAAGCGCACAAGGAGATATTATCATTCAATGGAACTTTGCGTCTGTACACAACGGCCATTGTGTCATGTAAAGGTATAAAATAGTACATGTCACCTCATCTCAAGTTACACAAATGACATATTCAGTTCAAAGTCGCATTGCAGTGCTTCAAAGTTGTCCAAGATCATACAAGGGCTACTGTGTATTTTGTGTATGATTCAGCAAAAATGTTCTACAAAGGGTGTTTGTGCGAGCAGTACATTATTGTTAGTGGCCATAGTAATTATGGCACAACTAAAGATGAAAGTTAGGTGATGTAGTATATGGTATAATATACTATGGATGGATTAATATCTATGATTGTTTCACCACCTTCACCACATGTTTATTCTGCTAAGGCACCTAATAATGATATACACAGTATTAAAGTTACAGTAAGATTGCATGTTTAATTATCTGTTTATCATTTCTACCACTGAGAAATGTAACTTTTTAATAATTAGAACTAATTAAAGGACTGTATTGAAATTCCTGGAGTGGTTAGGGCTGATGAATCTTATTTTGTTTATAGTCCTTACACTGAATGTGTAAATTCCAAGCTCTCATCTTCTAATCCCATAATTCTGGATTCAGTTGATACACATTTAACGTGTTTCAAATGAGCCTTATTACTTTTAAAAGAATACCTGTCTAAATGTATATTTCATAATGTTTAATCCACAGCCTTTCCAATTCTCTAAGATGAGACCTTTAACACAAAGTCTATATTATTTTGAGGTTCACTAACTGCTTCTTTGCTCTTGCAAGATTTACTGATGTGTTTGGTATGTGTTTTAAGATGTTCACTAATATTCTTTTTAAGAACCTGACAGTTTACATGTTTTTTCAGGAACAGAAAGGATTCATGTTACATTGTGCACTTTTCCTCCATATGATTCTGGTGAATGTGATATGTCAGTAATACCTTGAGGGAATTTCTTCAAACTTGGCACAAGTGTCCACTTGGACTCAAGAATGAGCTGATTAAATTTTGGTGGTCAAAGTTCAAGGTCAGTGACCTCACTTCTGTGCCATACACATGAATCTGAACACAATTTCTGGTTGGAGGAGGCATACAAGCGGTAATTCTACTTTAGCACTAATAATTATCAGTATTTCTGAATATTTGTGATTAGACCAACATAATAAACTGGTGCCAAAATGAAATTCTATG